TTCCCATTGTAGAAACTGAATGTAGGTTCCAGTAGTTTGGTAAGATAACCAACGCTCCTTGTTCCTACTGGTAGGCTGAACCTGTTGTGAAGTAGACGTAGTGTTTCACATCCGTTTGCGTTGTAGCGGTTTTGCCTTACTACTGTAGCTGCTGCTCCCTGACAGATGTTGAGGAGGATGTAGTGTAGATCTCTGGAGAGGTCTACTGCTTTGCTTGCTTGTGTAGGGTCGAGTATGTGTGTTCTGATGTCTGTGTCCTCAATCTGTCGTGTAGCCACTTGTGCTAGTGTGCTAGTTGTAGCACCAGGTCGAAGTCTCGGTCTATGAGGCCGAGGTATAGCTTGAACAGTCATTCTTCATACTGGGAGTAGTCACCAGTGAAGAAGGGTGGTGGCAGTTTGTATCTATGTAGTCTCTGAACGTCGTTGTCTTTTTCTGTTCCTGCTCCCGTAGTCGTGGCTCCTACTGTGTCTGCTGTTGGCCCGTTCTCTGCTCCTGTAGTTTGTTGTGCTGAGGCTGATGCTGCTTCTCCTGACATGTCGTAGTAGTTTGGCATGTGGCTGCTGTTGCTGTTGTTGTAGTACTTACTGCTTACTGGAGCTCCCCTATGTTTAGGATCTCAGCTCCGCTACCACGATAAAATCGGTTGTTACTTTGCTTACAAGTGCAAGTGCTGTAGTGTTCAAACAAACAGTCAACCAATGTAGTCTGCAGCTGCCAACCTTTTGACTCATGCGGAGTAGTAAGCTCAAGGCCTGCGGTAGTGAACACACATGCAACAAGAGTGCAAAGTGAAGCATGTAGTTTGACATCTCTCTCTCTCTTTGTCTTTCTCCCGCTCTCACTCTCTCTCTCTCTCTCTGTGTTTGCGTGTTGTTGTAGTAGTCGCAGTTGCAGCTGCAGTTGTAGTTGTAGCTGTCGTTGTAGCTGTCGTTGCAGTTGTAATCGCAGTTGCGGGTGCGGTGTGAGTTGGGGTTGGAGTGAGTTGCTGTTGCAGTTGCAGTTGCAGTTGCAGTTGCAGCAGCTGCCGCTGCTGCTGTTGCTGCTGCTGTAGTTGTTTGCAGTGTGTTGTTTGTTGTTGTTGTTGTTGTTGTTGTTGTTGTTGTTGATGATGATGATGATGATGATGATGATGATGATGATGTGGATGTTGATGTTGATGTTGATGTTGTTGCTGTTGCTGCTGCTGCTGCTGCTGCTGCTGCTGTTGCTGTTGCTGTTGCTGTTGTGGTTGCTGTTGTGGTTGTTGCGGTTGTGGTTGTTTTGTGTGCCAATGACATGGAAGCACGAAAGGACTCGGTCCTTTTTCACCAGCCTCTGAACCAGCCTAAAGGTGGTGGCGTGCCTCTGAACCAGCCTCCTTTTTCACCACCCTAAAGGACTTGGTCCAACAAGAGTACGCGTTTTTCTGCAGTGTGCTGTGTTGCCTTTATGCGCTACACAGCACAGAGATGAAAATGAACGATCTCGCGCTGCTAGCTAACGTGGCCAAGCTTCAAGCCGCCACGTCGCCCATCCGCGAAAGACCGTCTTGCAGACATTTGGCGCTTTGTGCAAGCTACATCGATGTGTGTAGCCATCTCGGCTAAAAGGACCGCGTCCGCCCAATACTTGAGGTTTGGATGGTAGCGGAGCCGATCTCCCAGGGCAAGAACAACTCCAAGGCCAGGCCCAAGAACGTTCGGAAGATCGGTAACGGAAAGGTCACGCGCAGGAATTTTTGGCACCACCCTCAAAGGGGTGGTGCTGAGGACAGAGGAGAGAGCTGACCAGTCAGAGGGCAGCCGGCGCCGAGGTCCTGCTGGTGTTGATTTGGGCGCTGAAGCTTGAGGACTACGTCGTGGGCGTCTTCAGTGGCAAGACCAGAGAGGTCCTGGACTGGAATGGAGAGACCAAGATCGAGGGCGCCCACGGCAAGGATGCGACCAGTGGACGAGGTTGACGAGTTCAACAGGCCCACCGGAAGTATGACCCGAAGTCGGAAGCGAAGTCGGAATTCCGACCTCGGTTGGCGCGGCTCGGCAGGCTGGCGTTGCCAGGCAGGTGTTGAGGCTTCGATACCAGGCAGGTTACCAGGTGGGCGTACACCGTATGCCAGGCAAGTGTTCAGGCTTCGATATCAGGCAGGTTACCAGGTTGATGACCGCATTATTCGCATTATTCGTATGACGCTTCGATGCCGGGCAGGAATGAATGTGGCGCGGCTCGGCAGGCTGGCGTTGCCAGGCAGGTGTTGAGTCTTCGAGGCCAGGCGGGTCCGGCGAGTGGAGGTCGGAAGCGCATCATGCTCCAAGCACTCACGAATCCAGAAAGAGCAACATATGAGCAACTCAGCGGCCCTTTAGAAAGATGGAAGAGTTTAAACGACAAGAAGAAGGATCAGTTCGGGAGGCGTGAGGCGCCGGAGCCCACCGATCTCACCATGCAACTCTGAAGTTGAGGCCTCCGCCGCTTCGGTCGTCGGTGGTGTCTGAGACGCGGAAATCGAGCTTCCCATTGACGCAGGTCTCGTCTGCGGTTGGGAGGAGGCTTGCTACCGGTACTTCTTGCACGGGGCTGGCGGCAGTGTTCGCAACTACGCGGGCGAGCCATACCCGAAGCATCCTGGTCAGGAACCGGAGTTGGATGTTCCTGACCTGAGGCATCAAAAAAGGAATCGAGGGCATACCTGGCATCCTGTGGTACGCGGACTTTGGCTGAACTATGTGTTTATGCGCCCTATCACCAGGAGGAAAAGTGGCAGCAGGCTCAGAAGACCTATGATGTGTGGGTCGCTTGATGCTGCACACATGTTGGGAAGGGGTTGATCCCGCGTGACAGAAGGTCGGCGTGGGCGGACCAGAAGAAGATGGCGAACCAGGCCACCCGCATCCTGTCACAGGTCGGGAGGACACTCAGGCGAAGTACCGCCATGGAAGGGTACCCGTTTGGAGATTGGGCAGATATGCCTGAGAGGTTCGTGGGATTGATTCTCTTTGTGCCGGGTGTAAGGGCGACCTTGCTAAACGCGCAGACTGGTCAGCGCAACCTGTTTGTTGGATGACCCAACTTGGGTTCCAGACATTGCGTCATCTTACCTTCTTGCGGGGTTGATCACGACTAGCTCGTCGCATGTGGACTGCGCCCTCGGGCGCTCGTTGCGGATGCCGATGTACCCCCAATTGATGGCGGCGACGGCAATGCTGGAGAAGTTGCAGAAGTACTTCTCGTCGCTGCGTGGCCCCAATTGGGGCGCTGACTTTGGTAAGGGGAGTGAGTCTCCCTCATATCGGGAAGCTGTCGATGACCGAGAAGCGGGATGACATGGACGTGGATGAGAAGGTTCCCACGTGTGGGTCTTCGGGCATGTTCACCTCGCGGATCTGCGATCTGCCAAAGGATGATGCCAAGGCAATGGGAACAAGCCTCGGGATACCGAGGGGCAGGTGAGCGCGGGCAGGCAGAGCGCCATAAGGTCAGGCACGAGTTTGGTGATGACATGACAAGAGGCTCCTCTCCAAGAACACCCCCATCAACGTGGAGAAGGATCTTCTCGCTATTCCCAAGGGCTCATTGGCGCCACCTCGAGGATCGGCGAGATTTCGTTGCGTGTGTTGACACCAGGAACGGGGCGGCCCCGTGCGCAACTTCAATCACCCGCCAGAATCTCTTCTTGAGTGACAACGGGAAGTCGCAGCTGTCGATTGTGTGAAGCCTGCGTATTTCCAAACCGGAAGGCAACTTGATTGGGAACCGTTCGACTGGTCTTTTGCGCAGTCGGTGGTAGTGATGATTCAACCAGCTTGGCTTTCCTTACTAGTTTCTAGTTAAAGTATGCTTGAGTTCCTACTTGGACTTGGCAGAATCTCTGTTCAAGTTAAATTTGTATATACGAATTCTAGCTAACATTCGAATCAAAATCGAGTTCTAACTAAACCCTACTCGACATCCCACTCGGAGGAAAGTGCTGTCTAAAATCTAAACCGCACATGAACTGGTTGCTTCCCTTGTTAGAAAGGAGCCCTCTATTGATTCTCACCATGATTTGAACTTAACGCGTGGCAAGTTAAACCTTGTAAACCATTAGAACTGAAATTGCGTGTCCCTTGCGTTTCTATTGGTTGTTCGCTCCTTTCAAGCAGCAGGCCAATGAGCAGAAACAACAAGTTGTATTTCCACGCTGGGTTTCAACTAATGACAAACAGGAATGAAAGGAAAATGCTAATAAAATTACAGTCACACTGGCTAGAATTGAGCAGCAGCATTAAGCAGCTGACTCCTTGAGCGATGCAAAGATCGGAGTTACAAACACTCTTCGCAAATCAATACCACAAGTGGCTCAAGATATCAAGCCTCAAGGTGAAACAAAAAGTGCCCTACTACAGATACAGTCCCGTCTCAAAAATTGAAACACAATGTACGAAAGGCCGGGGGTTTTGGCCATCAGTTGCGAAAGAGGCTGTAGCTTTTTAGGGTTTCAGGTCGCGCACATGAGTTGTGAACACGGGAGTGTGTCAGGCTGACGAATGCCAAATCACGTCAGTTACGTTTGCTTTTGCCACTTCTGAGCAGCTTGGGCATTGTATTCTACACGCAGCATACGCACAGCACATATCACACAGCACATATCACACGTCTCTTGCAACTTGTGTCTCAGGACATCACGGTACGCAAAAGCCTGAATTAGCCATATTGACGCGGGGGATCAGTTTGAAGCGAACTTGTTGTAAGGCATCCATTTAAGCCAGTCTTCGCGGCAGTTGCCATGCTCGCATTTTCTGTTCATTCAAGTACTTGACGAACACTTCCGGCGCCCCTGGCATATTCACTGTGAGGTCTTTCTGTTTTTGCTTACCCTTTAGACCCGTCGTCGACAACCAACTCGAGGTGTAAGATAGAACAGATAGCGAACTGAGAAATGCAGATAGTGAGCCAAAGAATGAGAAAGAATCTGAAAGACGGTACTACAGGAGAGAAGTTGGCTGAGACTTGCAAAGCGTGATAAGAAGTCAAGGGCTGAGATGAGAATGAGTTGAGCGCACCGCGAGACGGGGAGTGCAACGACGCGGAGCGGGTTCTGATGGCCCGCAGTCCCTTCGAGGCCAAATGAACGTGCTTCGGTCATGTTTTGCTTTTGACTCTCGCAACTCGTTGATTTTAGAACGAAGTTTCGATAAGTAGTGACGTAGTGCAATTGGCACTGTTTAACCATGAATCAATATTTTGAGAATTGCTCGAACTTAGCTCGGCTTCGGAGGTGCTCCAGATTGAGCCCAGCGCCTTGGACGAGAAGCAGGCGAGCTCAGATGCAAGTCGGAAATTCGAAGTCGACTCTGAATCTCCGAATCGCCGAGTTCGAATCCGAGTTCAGGAATCCGAAATCGAAGTCGAAATCGGAGTCGAAGGATCCGATGGGTCCATCTGGACGGACCGCCTCGGACGGAAGGTACGGACGCAGTACCGGAAGATGGCGTTGAGAGCCGACACCTCAGTTCTCCGAAATCTTCCCGCTCCGCGTGTCACGTTAGGCAGAATGATTTGAAACCTCTCAATCGACCCTTCCCTGAACCGAATCGCAAACCAGATCCACCTAGGAACCTGAAAGGAACCTGAAAGGAATGATACCACCTGGCCTGATTCAATGCTCAAGTTGTCAAGCAAACAGACATGTTTTTACACCCACCCAAACCTATCCTAAATCAATCCTTCTCCCACCAAACCAATCCACTGCCGCGTGTCGTTCCCCATGGCCGGAGAGTGATTGAGTGCATCGCGCTTTCAGTGCTTGACCCCGTCTCAATTTTGGCATCTCATGCATTTCCAATTCAGGTTTTGGCCATTTTCTTGCAACGGCCGGAGCTCACTCATAGGGGGAACTTGATACAAAAAGGCTACCTCTGGCATTGATTTACAATTTTATCGTTCCATCGCTGAATCCATAATTCGATCAAGTGTAAGTCCCAGTATATCATATGATTGAAATGGCTCACGATCAAACCTGCCCGCCCGCCCGCCCGCCTGCCTGCCTGCCTGCCTGCCCGATTTCATTTGCTGGTGCACTCATACCTTGGCTACAGGTGAGGTCTTGGCGTGGTGCTTCTTGTTTGTGATGCAGTTGCACAGTAGCTGCTCAATGCCCAACACTCCCAACACGCTCTTTAGATCTCTGAAAGAGGTGTGTTCCATTCCACTGATCCACTGATCCACTGATCCACTGATCCATTGATCCATTGATCCATTGATCCATTGATCCATTGATCCATTGATTGATGGGATTGGATTGGATTGGATTTGATTGGATTTGATTGGATTTGATTGGATTTGATTGATTGATTGGATTGGATTGGATTGGATTGGATTGGATTGGATTGGATTGGATTGGATTGGATTGGATTGATTGATTGTTTGAGTGATTGATTGATTTGATTTGATATTTGATTTGATCCATTTCATTGAGTTGGCTCGATCGATTGATTGATTGATTGATTGATTGATTGATTGATTGATTGATTGATTGATTGATTGATTGATTGATTGATTGACGGATTGATTGACGGATTGTGATCTGGATTGATTTGATTTTGTGAAATTCGTGCTTTCGCTTGCATTGCCCGATCATCATGTGCATCACGCACATGTGCCATCTCGGCCCAGGCGGGCCCCCTTGAGTGCATTTTACCATGCGTCGCACTGCGACCGCCATGAAGTGAAAAGGGCGCGACATCGCTTGCAGCGCTGAGAGCCCCTTTGACGAGTTGGCACCGGAGCCGCACACTGGGCGAGGTGCTGAATGACTCAGGTGCACCGGATGGACTCCTCGGACGTTTCGATCACCTCTGATCCGCCCGAGTTGCAGCCTTCAGATGCAGAGCTGAGATCCATGATGTGGAGGCCTACCTTACCGCAATCTGGCCAGAACTCTGAGTCCCCCTCGCACCAGCGTGAACAGATCCCAGGACCTCATGCCGATCAAGCTGATCAAGCGCGAGCCCAATCTGCACACTGCCGGAGATGCTTGAGGTGCGACCAGGTGTCCTTCGAGCCGATGGACCTTGCGATGTGGAGGTGCCCTGCATGTGACTACACAGAGTCTTACGTGGCGAACCAGCCCACCAGGATGGCCAACGATCGCGGTGTCTGGCTTTTCGTGCCCCAGGGCGCAGGAGGCGCCGGAATCGGCGTGCGCGAAGAGAGGAACCAGCTGATCCTGGACCGCCCTTGGATGAGACCGCTGAGCAGATGCCTTCCGAGACCATCACCGACGACCCGACCGTGGATCCGGACACCCTCAACCTTGTCAGGAAAACCCCGAAACGACCTTCGAAGCAGGAACCGACCCCTCAAGCAGTCGAGACAGCAGCAACACCACCTAGAGTTAAGCCTTCCTTGCAGTTGGGTACCGACAATGAACACCTTCAAGCAGCTGGTCGCCAAGAAGAACGAGGACGATGCCCTCGATTGGAACTCTTCCAAAGGGCCCCAGCTGGGGACCAAATGGAAGAGCGGCCAGGTCCCTTCGCCCCCGGTTTGGAGGTACGATCGGGACGATCTCCGAGCTTTCCACAAGTTCAGCAAGAAGGTGGACATCTGGAAGCTTCAGGCATCCGCTTATGCGCCCGCGAAGGAGCTTGCCCTTATCTTATACACCTCCTTGTCAGGTGAGTGTGAGCAGGAGTTGGAACACCTGGCATCGACTACCTCATGCAGCAGCTCAAGGGCCCCATGGAGTCGAAGGAGGTCTTTCAGAAGAGGAAGTTCCTTCAGGAGTTTGAGGCCATCTCCAGGTTCCCCGGCGAGTGGGGATCGACGTCACGGGCATGTGCGACACCAACTCACGCGGTGCATTCGAGGCTCTCGGTGGATTGATCCTCGTTGGAACGGGTCAATCCTTGGCCTTCGACAGCATCTACGATGCCATGATCTTGCAGCACCCTGAGTTTCGAGCCCCACCACCTGTTGTTGGACGCGACGGACGTACGAATGCGCCAGGCCAGCACAATCAGCGTCAGAAATCTTCCGGCAAGGGCTATGCACCACGCCAGGCATTCGCCACTGTGGCGCTTGACCAGCCGGAGGTGGAACCTTTGGAGCAGGAGGAGGAAGACGACGCTTCCGCCTTAGGAGCAATCGATGAGGAGCAACCTGATGAAGACTTTGATGATCATCAGGATGAAACCGCAGCGGACGAAGACCCCAGCGACACCATTGCCGAGCTTGCTTCAGTTTTGACCGTGAGCGGCATGACGCTGGGGAGGAAGTTCACAGGCGGCAAACCTTCTGGGAAGAAGAGCCCCGCCGAGCTCAAGAAGACCACACATTGCATTGTGTGCGGCTGTCAAGGCCACTGGCAGGGAGATCCTGAGTGTGAAGGAGCGGCTTCAACGGGCGCTTCAAGCGGCAAGTCTCTTCCGAAGGGAGGCAGACCTGACCCAAAGGGTCGCGGACGTGGCAAGCAAGGGGCAAAAGGTGCCCACGCAGTCCACACCGTCACCTTCACAGAGCCCGACTCCGTTCAAATCTCAGACAACGTTGACTATGGCACCCTCTTTTCGGTCAACGCGGTGTTTTCAGTTTCAGATGAACGGCCCCACCACTTGGACCCCCTCAGCAATTACATGGTTTTGGATACCGCCTGCCAACGTAGCTGCGCAGGGATGGATTGGTACCAGGGCTACAAGCAGACACTTAAGGATTACAAGCTCAACCCCCTCGAACTGCCCATCAAAGACAACTTCATGTTTGGGGACGGGAAGCCACGACAAGCCGTTTGCCGAGCCTACCTGCCCGTTGGACTTGCCCATCAACATGACCTTCTTTTGGGAACGGGGATCCTGGAAGCCAACACCCCCCTTCTCGCAAGTCATGACGCACTTCGCAGTCTGCAGGCCGTCATCGACTTGGCCAACAAGGAAGTGTACTTTGGAGCCCTGCAGGCTCGGGTCCCAATCACCTTAGTCGCCGGCCACCTTGCTGTTGACATCACTCAGTTCACGCATCACCCTCACGCCAATCGTTCACCGGCATGGAAGAGATTGTCAGATGAGGTTGATTGGAAGAACCCGCCAGCTGAAATCGTCGCACCCGATCTAGTTTTTGGCTCTTTCAGCAGGACCGATCAGGTTTCAGCATCAGCGCCTGATGTTTGTGCGACCTCCTCTATGGCTTCAAGCATGGAAGCACCTGGTGAAGACCCTTCTGCTGTCCTTCAAGGAGAGCATCTTCGTGGTCATGAAAGGCCATCAGAGCCAACCTATTGCCACGCAACCTCTTGCAAGCGATCCCGCCGATCATGGACAAGCCCAAGCTACCACAAGCTCCGGACTCCAAGGTGGCGAAGCCCATAGTGCTGAACTGCGACCATCCGCACTACCAGCGCTACGGCAACGGGTACGGCAGGTTCGCCAGATGCACCACTTGTCGGATCGTCTTCAAGTGGGACCAAAGCCGCGAGGCATGGTGTCTTCACTCCCAACCGCCCTCTTTGGCATCATCTCGCTTGCCGCGTCCCTCGGTGACAATATTGTGCCGGCCAGCCCAGCTCCGTCGAACAAGACCACTACTACAGCCAAGACAAGAGCGCGCCTTCAGCCAAGAGTTCGTCGACTCCATGGCGGCTGCTGGATCACGAGACGGACAAGGCGCAGGGGATCCTGGAGGATGGGAAAACTCCAGCCTGGACCCGGAGGGCGAGATCTACCAGTGGGACGACGAAGAAAGCTGACTGGCAGTTGGAACAATTCGGCAAAGCTGCTGGAGAGCGAGGTCAAGACCAATGATGACCTACTCCCAGGCCCCGCACTATGACATCCTCACGCTGGATCGGCTAAGTTCTCGGCCTTTGCCCCGGACTACGGCCTCACAGCGATTCAACCCATCGACTACTACGGCAACTGGGACCTCAAAAGACCAGACCGTCGACAGCAGATCAAGGACCAGTTCAAGCGTTGGAAGCCATGGATTCTCATCATCGGCTTCCCTTGCACGCACTTCTCCCTCTTCAGCGAGAACTTGAACTGGCGACGGAGCGCCGAACGTTGGGCTCAACTTCAAGAGCTTCGAGAAGCAGATCTGCCCGCTTCCTACTGGAGAACCCCATCAGGTCCAGACTCTGGGAAGACTACCGGCTACAACGAATTTGAGATACGCCCGGTGTGTCCTTTACAAAGCCACACGCAGGAGCGTATGGTGCACTCAATCTGGATGGACAGCAGATCATCAAGCCCTTCGGTTTCCTCGGGAACATGCCGGGCATGATTAACTTCCTCAACGAGCAGCTGTCCATAGAGGACCGGAAGGACTGCACCCCCGCTCAGGGGCGACACACTCGCCCATCACAAGAGTACCCAGATCGGCTAGTCCATGCCGTGCTGGAGCAACTCACAGCTTGGGTTCGCCCGCTTCAACCTCTACGAGACCTTCCCCACATCTCAGCCAAGCCAAGATCTGAGCAGTTGGACTCCGATCATGGACGACCTTCCAAGATACCTCAAAACGACCATACTACCTCGACACCAGCACCGACATGGGCAAAACCATAGCGGACCTCTTCCGCATGGACCTGGAGCGGATTCAAGTGGTCTGGGCACCAACGACCAGGCGATTAGCCACCGGCTACGACTTCCCATACACCCACAGAGGCGCACTGATCCAGTACGCCGACGGTAGCCGGGTTTTAGAACGCAAGTCCCTCGAGGAGATTCGCTTTCCGAAGCAGCGCTTCGCCAAGTCAGTGCAGGCCGCGATCTTCGTTTACGGCGCTGCCCAACATGAACCTGAACTACAACCAGCCGCACAGGTAGACACCGACTCGAATCTCTTGCCGCTGTCTAGCCTGCCGACTGACATCACCTTTCCCAACCTCAAGAAGGACATCCCCATTGAAGTTCGGCGACTTACGGCACGCCTTCACCTCAACATGGGCCATCCTTCTTCACAAGAACTATGCCGCATGCTGGCCTACTACGGGAACGTGCCGACCCACGTGTTCGAAGCCGCCAAAGCACTTCGTTGTTCGACGTGTGAACGACTTCGACCACCTCAACCAGCCAAACCGTCATCGACGGCCAAGTTCCTGGGCCAGTTTGGCGACCAACTTCAAATGGACGTCGTCTACGTCAGGACCGTCAACGGCACCAACGTGGGCATCTTGGGAATGGTCGATAGGCCCACAGGATACCACCAAGCCGCTGCGGTACGGAGTCGGGAGTCAGCCCACTATTTCGAGCTGCTCAACAGCACTTGGCTGAAACGGCTGGGGCTGCCTTGGAGCATCACCTGCGATCCCAACACCTCCTTCCAAGGCGACTTTCAGAACACGCTGCAGAAGCTGGGCGTTTTGGTGGACTACCGCCCTGCTGAGGGGCATTGGGTCATAGGATCCGTGGAGAGGCGCAACGCCATCCTCAGGAGCGTCATGGAAAGGCTGATCGACCAATGGGGAGCAGCCACGCCGGAAGAAGTTGATCAACTTCTCGCACCAGCCCTTCATGCTGTGAACTCCTTCGTCTTCAACCACGGACGCTCTGCCTTTCAAGCAGTGTTTGGACGCATTCCTCGGCTACCTGGAGGAGTGCTCAGTGATCAGACCGCTCTGGCGTCTTCGGCACCGACGCTCAAGGACAACTACATGGCCAAGGGCAAGATCATCAGATCAGAGGCATTGAAATGCCTTCTCGACCTCAACGTCTCCCAACACCTTCGCAGAGCGATGCTCCTGAGCTTCTGCCTGGGCAACCTTGCGCCTACTGGAGGTGGAACAAGAAAGGAGCCAAGAAGAGAGGATACGCAGGACGCCTTACTGGAAGGCACCCCTGTACCGGGTCAGAGGGAATATCTACGGACTTCCGAATGCACCGCATCTATGGTGCGTCGAAATCATCAAGAGGCTATCATCAGCCGATTACGTCAGCCTCGAGTTTGACAAGATGGTTTTGCCTCACTACGACCAGAGTGGAGACATCGACTCCATAATCACTTTCTTGGGCTGCTTCCGCGAGGACTATGACATCAAGCAGATCCACAAGCTCTTCAAATGGGGAGATCTTAAGTTCCTCGTGCCGGACGAGCCCTACACCTTCAAGGGTAAGGAGCTGACCATTCGGAAGAACCCCAGAGAGTACTTGCCATGCTTATCACCATGCCCAAGTTCATTTCAGGACTTGAACCTGGACGGCTTCCACGCGGACGCCTCGCGCAAGACGATCAGCTGCAACCTCATGAGCGCGCTGAGCTCAGGAGCGTTGGCGGATGCCTCCAATGGGCTGCCGCCCAAGCGAGGCCCGAAGTGTCAGCTACGGTTTCACTCAAAAGCCGTGGTTCGAGTGCGACCATCCACGACCTCAACTCGATCATCGAGTGCCTCAACTACATCAGGCGCACCGAGAAGGACGGAATCGTCATGCAGGACGCCCCTATCGACAAGGAACCCGTGCTGCTTACCTACACGGATGCAAGTTGGGGCAACGCAGAGCACTCCACTAGCCAGCTCGGAGTGCTGGTCACCCTGACCACCAAGGACGTGCTGACCCAAGCAATCACCGGTTAGCCTCATGGACTGGCGCTCATGCAGAAGCCCGCAAGTCTGCCGGTCAACATTGGCATCAGAAGCATCAGCAGCAGATGAAGGAGCAGATCGTGCCGCCTTTGTGAACATGATGTTCAGCCAGATCCTTTACAACAAGCCAGCTCGCCGCATTGGGCGCAGGCTTCACAACTTGCAGGCCACGGACGCCAAGTCGCTCTACGACTGTGTGGTGTCTCAGGGCAACACGCTCAGCGATAAACGGTCGCTGATCAGCATCCGCGCCGTGCAGGAGACTGTGTCTGCGGAATCGTACCACTGGGTTCCGACTCACCTTCAACATGCAGACCCTCTCACGAAGGTGGACCTGCAGCTCCGGGAGCAGATGCGCTGCTGGCTTCTTGGCCCTCACGCGCAGCTTCGCGATGAGGAGCATGATCGGTCAAAGAAAAGTTGACCAGTGTGAAATTCGTGCTTTCGCTTGCATTGCCCGATCATCATGTGCATCACGCACATGTGCCATCTCGGCCCAGGCGGGCCCCCTTGAGTGCATTTTACCATGCGTCGCGCTGCGACCGCCATGAAGTGAAAAGGGCGCGACATCGCTTGCAGCGCTGAGAGCCCCTTTGACGAGAGATTTGATATGTGTTGGTTGATTTGGATGGTTTTGATTTGATGGATTTGATTCAAGTTGATTTGACTTGATTTCATTTGATTTGATTTGATTTGATTTGGTTTTATGTGACGTGATTTGAAGTGTTCTGAGTTGAGATGAGTTGATTGGATTGATTGGATTTGATTGGTTTTGATTTATTTTGATTTGATGGGTTTCATTGTTTGATTCGATTGATTGATTGACGGATTGATTTGGATGGCTTTGATTTTGATTTGAGTCGATTTGATTCGCGTTCATTTGATTTGATTTGATGCGATTGAATGGCAGTAGCATTGCGAGGTTCATCCTGACAAGCAGTCTGAAGATGCGGAGACCTTCAAGAAGGTAAGTTACTTGTTGTGAAGCGTGTGTTTACATTTATTGCATCCAGGCTTTCGCGCGGCTGGACGCAGCCAAGGAAGCGTTGGAAAATCTTTGCGCGGAGCCAAAGCCAAAGCAATTGCAGCGATTCTCCTTGTGGTTTTCGGGTTCGGCCGCTCGGACGGTTTCTGAGGCGGTGCCGACAAGGCGGCTGTAAGCGAGCTGCACCAGGTGCTGCAAGCTGAGGTGGGAGGGATGTGGTTCGTCTTGTTTTCCCCGATGCCCATCAAAGCATCAAAGCTATATTTCTATGATGGGGTTGTGTGGCTCATGCTGGCTCTGCACTCATTTTAGAGGAAATTGTGAAGGGTTCAATTAACGTCCACTTGAGGTCCGTTTCAGTCTTCTCACGTCGTCTCCCGTATTCCTGCATCTTGCCCCGGTTCTGGGGATATCGTGAGGTGCATACCAGAGAAGGTGCGGCGCAGCTGTTGGGCGTGCTCCGCTTAGCACCAGTTCCAGCTGGCGAATACATCTCACATCTCCGGTTTTCCAGAAAATCGTTGGCAAGAGGATGTGTTTGTGTTTTGTGCAATTGTTTGCCTTGCCAATTCGTTCCGAAGGTGGATGGTGCGCCACTCACAGAGACAGAGCAGGCCAGAGCTGCCTTCAGTTGGCGTCCGAGTGTCCGATCCGCGCAGGTGGCAGAAGAAGCCGAGAAGTCCTTAAGATTGGGGCGCAAACCTTAGCAACACTTTTTGAAGCGGAATGCTTAATGGTTTGCAATTCGTTTGCAAGCAAGCAATCTCGGTGAAAAAGCAATTCGAGCCGCTTTTTGCGCAAGAGGATGAAAAAGCTGGAGAAGCTGGAGCACCTGCGAGAGCACGAGCAGGTCCGAGCGAAACTCGAGGTTTCGTCTACAGATCTTACAGCCTAAGTCTTACAGCCTGTTCGTTAAGACAAAACCGTCTCAGAATGTTTCAGATCTCCGTTTCGTTTGCCAAGCCCTTTTCCTAAAGCCATCGGGGCAGGCCGAAGGCCGAAGGGACAGTTGATTCAGTTCATTGCTTTCTTTCAATTTGTTTGCGTTCTTTTTCACTATTTTTCTTTTTTCCCTTTTCCCCAGCTTGGCTGTCGCTGATGGCCAATTTGCTGGCTTTGCGCGCAGCACTAGCCTGTCGCGAGCAACGCTTGTTTGCGTTGCCTCGAGTGAGCTCAAGGCATAACAAAGTCCGAGTCGCAAATCGCGAGCAGGGAGACAAGCCAGGAGACAAGTGCTGAGACAAGTGAGTCGGGCAACAAGTGGAGACAAGCTGCAACAAGGGGGGGGCAAGCGGGGGGGCAAGTGGGGAGGACAAGCCGACCAGGTCCGAGTGAGCAGTTTCACTTCAATCCATGTTTTCGCGACATTTGCCAGGCTTTTCCGCGCATTGCTTCCCGTTTCTTTCCAAATGTTCGTTCAACGTGTGTTCCTTGGGCTTTCAGGCGGCGGCTTCTCTGCGAGAGGCGGTGGAGACGTTGCGGCGCCCGGCCTCCCGGGAGGCACTGCCGCGGCAGGAGGCGCTGCGCCTGCAGCCCCTGGCCACCAGCCCGGCGACCCGGCGACCCGGCGACCTGAAAAGAGACAAGTCTCGCCGCTTCGGAGAAACGTTTGGGAAACGTTTGAATCGGTTGCCATGTTCGGGTGCTCAAGGCCGTGCTCTGGGAGCCCGCGACATGCGCTTCCCAGCCGGCGCCTGGGAAATGACTTCCAATTTGCCACTTCGCTCTCGGCCCACTTTTGATTGGCTCGCCGTGAGGCACCATTGGTCCTGATGCGACCAGAGAGCCAGGGCCCATGGGGCGAGATGGGCGTGGGGCGAGACCCGCTGAGAGAGCTTTGGTCCCGTGCGCCAGGTGTGCGTTGGAATGTGGAGCAGTCTTGCCGGGTGGCGTTGCTTTGCGGCGCCACTTCAGTGTCTCGGCCAAATTTTATTCTGGACTCTCGGAGGTCGCAGAATGCGCGCCCATGTCTTGGACCTGAGGCCTTGACGGATGAGCAGTTCCGCGCTCGGCCGACACAGGAGAGTCACTCGCTTTCACACCCACAGGCTTTTGTCAAGCTCAGCCAGTTTCAAGCGCTCTCCAAAGGCGGGCGAATTGGACGCGACACCCGTTCCAAACCCTGGCCTCAGGCGTCTGCATTGCGTGCGGCGGCGCAGTGAGAGAGCGAAGTCGAAGGATCGAAGGATTGAAAGTCGAAGTCGAAAGAAAGACAGAAAGAAGGAAAGGGAAATTCGAAAAAGGGCGCAAAGTCGAAGCAAGTTAACTCAGAAAGGCAGATGCTAAAGCCAAAGAGAAGGAGAATTGGAGAGTTGAGGCTGGTGCCAAGAGACGTCCGCGCCCTCGGTGGTGGCAGCCTGTCTTCGCTTCGAGGAGCGAGGGGGTGTGTTGGCGTTTGGGAAGCCATTCTTGCGAAGGCTAAAGGAAGCAACGAAGGCGAGCCGAGATTTCGAGGCGAGCCATGAGCCTGGAGCCAGCGCGCTGAGGTCCAAAGAGACTGAAGCAGAGCCAGCCGGGAAGCATTTTCCTGCGGCACATACTGTTCAGGTTGGAGAGGGAGATGGACCCGCACGAGTCTTTATGCGGGTCACACTGGGCATTCATCTCTCACACGCATACTGAGTTTACCGTTTACCCTCCCCCTATAGCTCGTATAGCTCCTATTGGGTTTGGTCCTAAGCCGCGCTTTGCAAAGGGGATTCCTTCGAAGGCACCAGCAGCTCCGGGTCATGGACCCTGCTGCCCGGCTCAGCACTCGAAGGGCGAAAGGTCTCGAGTCCCAGAGAGATGCGAGGCGTGATGGGGCAAGGAGTCCTGCAGAAGCTGAGGCCATTTTTCGAGACTTGCAAGATCTTGCAATTTGAGTCGCTAGGCCACCGCCCTGAAGGTGCTGCTCCAGCTCCAAGCAAGGGGCTACGCCTTTCGCATTCTGAAAAGAACTCAAGCTCCCCAAGCCTCCAAGCCCCCAAGCCCGCGGGCCCTTGCCCGAGGCTGAGCCCCAGGCCTTTGTGAGGCTTTGTCGGGAGCACTCGGACTGTGGAGCGCTTGGAACCGGGAAAGCGAACCTGGAAAAGAGGACATGATTTGAAGCACGCATTTGAAGCACGCTGAGCTTCGGTCCGTTTGCCTTGGCCATTTGCGGCTTGCCGCGGCTTGCCTCGAGGTGCTTCCGCAGAGCAGCCCGGCGCTCTCGCCGGGCACATGGGCTGGGCCCGGGACCTGGAAGTCCCAAATTCCGGACGCAAGCGACGCAAGCGACGCAAGCGACGCAAGCGAGTGTCGATGCAGTTTTGAATATGAATGAAATGAAATGAATCAGTGAATCAATGAATGATTGAGGCGCCCGTGTTTCAGTTCGAATGTCTAGGTGGCGCGCGGGGAGCAGGAGCCCAGCCTGGAGGAGGCTGCTTTTGCCCTGCAGCTCAACGAGCCCAGCGCTAAGGAAGACGCCAAAAGACGCGAAATGCGAAGAGGAAACAACCAAACTGCCTTCAAAAAACGACACAGGTCTGAAAAACGACCAGGTGCCTGATGCGAAACTCATTGCAATTTGGAGGTCGCAAAGTCAGTTGACTTCATTAACTTCCTTCCGGGGAGCTTCTCAAGGCTGCTCCTGTTTGGCGCTCTGTTTTGCTGAAGCTAGGCTTCAGGAGATTTTTCAGGAGACTTTTCGGGAGACTTTTCGGGAGACTTTTCGGGAGGTGCTCGTTTGGCTGAAGCTCCGATTTCGACTTGGCTTCCGGTCGTCCGTCCCTTAGGCTCGGGGACCTGGTGGCCACCAGCCGGGGCGTCCACCTGGTGCAGCGCATCGGCTAAAGGAAAACGTGAACCAAACGAGAAGAGAAGACAAGAGAACCAAGTTGAACGAACCTTGGGAAAGACTTGGATTTGAACGACTTGGAGAAACTTGGGTTGACATGTCGCCCGATGGCCTCTCAATGCTTCATGTTTGGAGACGCGTTTCACAAGCTTGTCAATCGAGCATAGAAGCGGGAAAGACGAGCAAGAGACCTCGAGAGTGCTCAAGCCAATGGAAGCCATAGCTACAAGCGAGAGACCAAAAGAACGGACGCTGTGATGCCGCCTCTATATCCTTCACCTGGGCCCTTCCCCAGCCACCAAGCTCTGGCTGCAGTTGATAAGGCCAGGCCAATGCTAGGTCGCTTGGTCGCTTGGTCGCTTGGTCGCTTGGTCGCTTGGTCGCTTGGTCGCTTGGTCGCTTGGTCGCTTGGTCGCTTGGTCGCTTGGTCGCTTGGTCGCTTGGTCGCTTGGTCGTTTCCGATAGGATCAGGTCCGCAAGGCGTACTATGAGACCACGAGCAGCCGAGCTCTACCAGGGAGAGAAGTGTCAGAGGCGTGCGGCTTGCGGCCAGATCCGTTTCCATCCGTTTCCCCAGATGCTCCAGGAGATTCGGGGCGAGAACTTCCTGAATGTGCACTGCATCGGCCAGCGCAACACAAGGCGCGTAGGAATGGAGGTGGCCTGGGTTTCAAGCCAAGCTCTTGAGGTACTTGCAGTGGACCCGCAACTTCGTATCGAACCAAGAGGTTTTCGGATATTCAGTCGGGTCGGGTCAGTCGGAGTTCTCTTTGTATTTGCTCTCTCAGGCACCGCTCACCACGCGTGTGGCTTGCCACCACACCAAGACTTACGTACCCTTGCCGCTGGGGGACAACAAGATCAACATGGACCTGGCCAAGTCCTTTAAATCTGGCTGGCAACAGTCCAAGGACGCATGCAAGGGCTCGCATGGGGTATGTGTAAAGTCAGGCATGACGTACTCACCTGTGGCCATAGCTTGGGTGGGGGCTCAATGGCTCGAAGCTGTACCTGGAATGACATGGTAGCGGAGTGGGTTTGATCCTGGGCAGAATCCACTTCGAACTTCAAGCGGTTGCAGCTGATTGCGCAGAGAAAGGCGGAGGTCGGCGAAAACAGTTGCATGTCCGCCGCCAAAAAAGCCATGCCATGTCCTACGCAATGCTTCGGGGAGCTGGCAGTGATCCGAGCCGCTGGGCTCACTCGACGTCCCGCGGTTCGCAACCCCGTTGCGAGCATTGCGAGGTCTATGCGGAAGGAGGGTTTTGCTTGTACGATCCGAAAGTTTGACTCGGGAGGCAATTTCAAGACCTCCACACGGCTCCATGCTGGGCGTAGCCCTCGATCTGACAAGCGCGCCGCACCACCATGTAACCTCGGCCTAGCCGTTGCAGTCCTTATTTTGACTGCGGGGCAACTCCGCCTTGGCGTGACAAGCCCCTCTTTGCCAATTTGTCCCACCAACAGCAAGTTAGTCTGCCTGGTGCGTTTCGCATTCGGTGGAGCTGGCAAAGGCTTGGCCATGAATCTCACACTCAAGATCACTTCCCGAGAAATGCTGACCACTTCCCGATTCAGTTGAAAACTTCAATGGCATCTCCAAAGTCCGACGAGGCATCTGCATTCCCCTCAGCATCTGTGGCTTGAAGAGGAAAGGGTGCACAAGCGATGCTTGCCTGCGCTTTCTGGAGCTCAAATCCGTTGCAGAATCCACCAAATTCTCCCTCAGGAAGCCGCACTCTGAATGCTACACGCGCAGAACTTCGCGCAGAACCGGCAAACAACCGTCGGATGAGAAAGAACAGCCGAAGCGCTCTTTCCTGTTGGCCAGGATTGCAATGCTCTAGCATGAATGGCGCTCAACAAGCTCAAGGGTTCACAGCCCAAGGAGCTGCGCGCGACTGCTGCCGATGCGCGCTGTAGCAAAGGCTACTGGTTTGCGTGGACCTGCTGTTGCCCGCACGCGCCAACCAGAGTGCTGCTGCCAAAAGAGTCAGCCTGCGCTATTGTTTTGATCTGCGTTTCCTTGATCAGTCTGGGTCCGAGTTTCCTCCCTCGGCTCTGCGCCAGACGGCGCGCTAGCCCACGGGCTAAGCACGATGCGTGTCCCGAAAAGGTGACCAAGCCATGCTACGTTGCTTTCTTAAGCGCGTTTCGCGGTCAGCGCTATGTTTCCTGACGCAAAAACTGTCGGAATCACAAACTTCTCAAACGCGTATATCAAGGCAAAGATGCGATCAACCAAGGATCTCTCAGTGTCTGAATCACTGAATCTGTCCGCGAGCAATGCAAAAAGATGCACAAGTCAGCACTTGCGCTTGTTGCTGCCTGGCGCACAATTCACACAGCCACGTCTAAGTTGTCACTTGGTGAGTCAACTAAGAGTCCGAAAGTCATCTTGAGCCAGCGACGACATACGAAAAATGCTCTGGCAATGTCTCGTGAGAGTTCTGCTTAAATAATATGTTCACGCGCGTCCATCAAACATGTCCGGCTATCTGGCGGCCCTTTCTTCTTTCACGTTGGCTGAAAATGGTGATTGGAGAGCTATTTTGTGTGCCATTAAGGGAAGGGACAGCATGGTCTGGGAGAAGCCACCTACAACGCCAATAACGATCCAAGTTGGTTATCCATGCCGCGGATGACAACAACAACAGCTTGAAGGGTTCTCAGCCTTGGTGTGCTGGGTTGGGGCGAGGCTGTGAGTCTGGAGCCACGCCTGAGCCTAAGACCCTGAAACCAAAGATGCGGGCATTGGATCTTCGGAAATCCCTTCATGAACTTCCAACGGCTGGAGGAGAACGTGGCAGAAAAAGGCAATTACCCATCCCCCAAACTCGCAGCAAAGGCTTCTAGGCGGCCCAGGCTGATGGTTTCAAGAATGTAGGGCTGGAAAGCATGGGTTCGTTACTGTGCTCATCTCAACATCCTTGGCACGGAACTTCTTGTCCCCGATCGACCTTCATTGGGAAAATCTGACCCTGAGACATTAGTACGGGTGGTTTGCAGACTATGTGTCGGGATGCTACGCGTTATTCGTGCGGGGGACTTAGAGGATGTGATGCGCTACTGCATCATGACGGTCAATCCGGATCGCAACGCATTGACAACATGTTCAGAATTTTTGCTCTGTGGGACACCAGGAACGTCCTGGCCGCGTTGCATCCTTTGACCCGTCCAATGATGGTTGAAAGAACGAATAGCGGTCACCGCCAACCTTTAACTTGGCCTTTCAACAAGGCCTGCCTCAACCTCACTTTGATTGGGATGCTGAGTGACTTTGTGCGCAACTTCTGGGTGACGAAAGTGTTTCATCCTGGTCCCTGGACGCAAGGTGGCCTACCACAGTGCATTCATGGCACAGGCGTGACTGGGTCACTGAAGGGTTTCGCCGGATTGCACCGCCGAACCCTGACGATGACCAGATGCATTTTGAGCATCAGTGCCATGACCAGCCTCGACATGCAGCCACACAATCCTCCAATGTGGAAGTCTGTCCAATTCAGCGGCCTTTTCCTTTGATGACTTGTGGTGATGTGGCGGTGATAACCATGATGTTCCGCATTCTTTTCCAGACACCGACACCATATAGCGTCTCAGCCATGTCTGAGCTCGACGCAGGCGCCGGATGTGATCAACCGCCCGCATGACAGTGTTTCCCCTATTACCAATTCTGTTTTTGATGATGGCGTGGAGTGACTCATTGCGCGCATTGCCGGCCAACAAGTTTTTCTTTTGCGCTTGGCATGACCGGTGATCGTTGTGCTTCACTTGCTTGCGTTGCTCTTTGATCTTGGTTAGACTCAGCTGTTGATTTATTGGCATAGCAGCAGCCCTTTGCATTCCGTGTCTTCGAATCATGGACGTGGAACGTGATCAATCCGTTCGTGCTGAACATCATGACCAGCAACCCTGGTTGGAGTACTCTCAATGGCACGGTCAAGAACGGGTCAAGATCCTCATAAGCCACTCAAATGATAGAGCGAAGATCAAGCATACTTCTATGGCAAATGCTGGCGGCCACATGTCATTGACTGCGCTTTGTTCAAAGTCTCGAACCATCAAGTCGTAGATCCCCTCAACAACCCTCAGCAAATGCAACCAGTTTCCTTGCTCCATGCTACACAGCGCGCACCGGTATTGCGCCAGCCTTCACACATTGATGCAATAGTTGGGATTTGCTGATGAGAAGCTTTCCCATTAAGCTCAGGGTCTGCAGATCCCGATCTTATCGTAGTCAATTGCGAAGCATTGTCCAGCTTCTTGCTCTGCTTGGTTTGTAAGTGTCAGGCAACCCAGGCATACAAGGCAAAACGTGGCAATCACCAACAAGCGCCGCCGGCTCTTCATCAGTTAAGTGGTAGCGGTACTGGCATGTTGCATCTGTCTAGAACTGCTTCTGCAAAGTCCTGACAGTTGCACATGCTTTGTGAGTGTTCGTTCCGAAATCGGCCGCTGCCTCATTGACGAGTGACCTTTGTTCTTTGCCCACGCGTGTGTCACTGATCCGCTGGTAGGTCTCATCGGCCTTGCCCATCATCAAACTCAGAGCTTCCAAGCCATCTGGCACCCTGCCAGTGTCCATGGGGCGACAAGACAGCCACCGTCAAGCTTCTTGCGAGTTTCATTTTTGCATGTTTCACTATGTGGCTCTACGGCTCATCGCCGCGCCTCCCAAGTACCCAAGCATCACCGGCTTGCGCAACAAACTATGGGGCCACCGCGTTGACTCAATTCAGCGCGACGGTCTCAATGCTGAATCTGTCAACACACGGAGTGTCGACAGTTCCTTCATCCAACTCATCAGCGGTTTCCCATGGCAACCGGTCTCAGTTGGTCCTTCCGACGCAGGGCCGCTCCGACCTGCGGTGATCCTTGGACCCCGTCTTCTGAGCGTACTCATCTTCACGTTCCCCACACCGCGCAGGACCTTTTGAGGATCCCTTTGAGGCGTGTGGAAAAAGTCCGTTGCCCCTCCTGGAGGGGCGTGGAAATCAGGGCGAACCATCATAGCCTACCATAAGGTAGTGCACAGGCAGCTCTTCAAAGCGGTTGCGATCCTTCTCGGCGAGATCGCCGCGAGCACATGGAAGTGTTCGTGGGGGGTACACCCCACGCCGAGGATATGGCAGAACGTCAAGCAATACTTTGACAACACAGACGATACAGTCACTCTCGCGTTTCACAATGACGATTTGGTCGGCTTCTTCAACAGTGTCCCTCAGGATCAGGTGTGCGCAGCAGTGGAGCAGCTACTAGCAGAGCACCGGCGAGAGCATGCTAGTCTTATTTATTCGGTGGAAACTCAGGCGGCGGTCCACTACAACCGGGTCTTTGCGGGTAAGCAATCCTATGGACGCACGCCGACTACGCGGGTCATTTATGTGGAGGACATCCTGGATATAGTCAAATCCAGCTTCCAATGCATGTACGTCCAGGTGGGCACTCTCATTCTCCGCCAAGTCCATGGAACAGCGATTGGCTCTCAGCTGAGCCCAGTTCTCAGTCACATTTGCGTCGCGCGGCACGAAGTTCTCTGGCAGCGTATTTATGGACAATGGTTCGCCAGCCACAACATCTTCTTGGAGCGTTATGTTGACAACAGATTTGTGATCTTCCCGTCTCCGGCTTCCGGTCACCCAGCAGCCCCATTGGAGGCTTTGCTTCACGCTGACTTTTATGGTGCACCCATCGTGTTGGAACAGGTGGGTTCCTCTGAGTTCCTCGGCTTCGTCATCGACGTAGGCGACCGGGCGATTTACTACAAAACGCCAACAAAAATCTGGCAGATCAGAGGACCCCACACTGCAGGAAGTCTTTCCACCCTTCTCTCCGGGGCTAGATCACGGTCAGCTCTCGCCACCAAGTATGCGCACCCGGCACGGGCAGTACTGATGGCGTTGGATCAGCT